TCAGTTTTAAAACACTGACCTTTCAGTTTTCCAACCAGATTGCATGTTCCCCAAGCTCCTGGACTATGTTTTGTCAAAAACATACCAAAACAGAGAAAAACTAACAAACAACAAACCCCAACCCCTTTTCATCAGTCATGCCTGGGGCCCCTCAGTGAGAGCTGGGGCCCTCAGAGAAACCTCTGTACCCATTTTCCTCATCTGTAAAATGGAGGTCTTTAAAGTGTCTGAGGGAGCCTGGGTAGCACAAGTGATTTGCTGTAGGATGCTAATCTAAAGGTTGGCTGTTCAAACCCACCCAGTGACTCCATGGGAAGAAGTGCTGGTGAACTGCTTCCCTGAAGTTTATAGCCAAGAAAACCTTATGGAGCAGTTCTACTCTGGAACACATGCGATTGCTATGTGTCGGAATTGACTCTAAAGCAGTGAGTTTGTTTTGTTTTGTTTTGTTTCTCGAACATCTGAGGAGATGAGCTGAGCCTTGAAGAGACTCCAGAAGGAGCTGAGGAGCCTGGGAGGAAGCCTGTTAGGGAAATGGGTGTCTACTCTGTGCTGGGTTCTATGTTTGACACTTTAGGACTTTCTCAAGGATTGCCCTGGGAAAGGAGATAGCTGCATTTTGCTATGGCCTGGAGGCTGTGGAGAATCTTCTTGCCCCTTGCTTAGGGGTGAGGCTTTTCCCTCAGGAAAAGCAGCAAGTAGAGCCCATGGACATTGGAGCAACTATCTGTTTCCTCAATCCTGTCTCTCTAAAGCTAAGAGGGCATTTTTCTGACCAGTGTGGTTTTTACTGTGAGGGAAGTGATCAGGAAAAACTTGTCAGCTTACTTAAGGTGATAAGTTAAGAGACCTGGAGCAAAGTGTTTCCTGACTGCAAGCCAGTGAGTAGGTTTCAAAACAGAGCATGGCTGTCAGACTGTAGTGAGAAGGTAGTGGTCAGATCATGGCAGCTAAAGGGCTGGAATCTGGAGAGAAGGAAGCAGTCATTTAGAATAATTTAGGGTGCATAAATATGGATGAGACAACTTGGGGCTTATCAGAGGGCAGCTGCTCTGCAGTTGAGAACAGAACATAGATATAAGAGAGCAAAGAGTGCTTGGGGACATTGCTGGTTGCTAGAGTAGAAATACATCTTTAGCATCCTAGGAATCTTGCTATAATACAAGAAAGTTTGCACCTTAGGAGTAGGGGATAAAAGGTGAAATAGGGACTATTCTAGAACCTGCTTAAACAAAGCCTAAAAACAAGCCCTGACATGAGTCAGAGAAAAGACTGAATTTGACTCTTCCTAAATAAGTGGGGCTAGAAAAACATCTTGGAATGTAGACTAATTTTCCGTTACAAAGCCTAAAATCAAGCTGTGACCTGAGTCAGAGAAAAGTCAGACTTAGAGTCCTGCCAAATAAGAGGAGCTTAGGAAATATCTTGGCCAACTTATCAGAAAATTATAATAATAAAATGAAAGCAGAGCAAACAGTAAGTAAAGTACAGAAATAACAAAACTATAAGCAAAAACCAATGCACAGGAAAACAAACAAAAAGAAAGAAAATTAACAGCCAGAGTAGATTTTTAAAAAGATTAATAAATAACTGATAAGACTAATTAAGAAAAGTAAAAGAGAAACAATACCAATGACCAGTATCAGAAACGAAAAGGGGATAACTCTACAGATCCTACAGATACTAAAAGGATAGTAAAATATTATTAAAAACTTATGATAATACATTTAATAACTTAGATCAAATAGGCAAACTACTAGTAAAACACAAGTTATTCAAACTGTTACAGGAAGAAACATCTTTGTGCATTGCTGGTAGGAATGCTATTTTCTATTTTTCTGATAATAGCTATCTTAGTCTGTATGATCAAGAGGGACCAGTCCCTGGAGAAGGACATTATGCTTTGTAAGGCAGATGGTCAGTGAAAGAGAGGAAGATCCCCAAAGAGATAGGTTGACACAATGACTGCAATGATAGGCTCAAGCATAGAAACGATTGTGAGCACAGTGCAGGACTGGGCAGTATTTTGTTTTGTTGCACAGAGGGTCACTATGAGTCGGAACTGACTTGACAGCACCTAACAACAACAGTGGGTATGAAATATCTCACTGAGGTTTAGATTTGCCTGGAAATATTACCAGGCAGGACTACCCTGATGCCATTACCAGATAAAGACACTAGCAGTAAATTAAAATAAAGGCCAGTGACCCTCATGGGTATAAATACAAATATATCTGCCAAAATATTAAAACATTAAATCCATCAATATGTAACAAAAGTTAACAAACCAAAAACCATCACTGCCATCCAGTCAATTCCAACTCATAGCGACACTGTAGGACAGAGTAGAACCGCCCCATTGGGTTTCTAAGGCTGTAATCTTTATAGAAATAGACAGCTGTAAGTTTCTACTACAGAGTGACTGGTGGGTTTGAACTTCCAAGCTTTTAGTTAACAGCCAAGTGCTTTAACCACTACACCACCAGGGCTTCAACAAAGGTTAATACATCATTTAAAAAAAAGTGTATTTTATCCCAGGGATACAAGATTATTTCATCATTCAAAACTCAATCACCCTACTCATCTCCTCCTGAAAAGGAAACTAACTGAATTCCCTGGGAAGGTAAGGCCCATTGTTTAGGTGGCTGGTGGCTGGATAATGAATAAATCAACTTGGCTGGGTCAAGCTCACCCACTAATAGGTTTTGTTCTGGCCTTTAGGAATAAGGAAGTAGAGAAGGGTTTTTAGTTTGACTATACCCAACATACATTCCCATTCCATTTTCTTCTCTGAGTCTGCAGACCTTACCACTATATCTCTTAGCCCTGGGCCTAATATAAACGTTAAAGAGCCTGATTCCTATTTTTTGGTGAAATTGATCTTCTATTTGCTCTTCTCCTTAATATACTTCTCGTGTCTTCTAGACTGATAAGTTAGGGCATCAAGCTGGTGGAGACTTTCCCTGAGGACTTTCAGTGACCTAGTGGAATAGTTCTTAGGATGATAGGAGGTCACATGGATATGTCCAGACATCTTTTCCCCACATTATGCCTTCTCTCAGTTCTTACTTGTGAGTAATGAGCTCACATCATTACAATAATAAAGTCTTGCAAACTATGGAAGAGCCTCTAGAAGGGTTGAGGGCTAGATAAATTCTTTTTGTGTATATGATGGCCCAAATCACCAATTGTTTGGTCACTACCTAAGAGTCAATATGAGTGCCTTCCCTGCTCCTTTTTCTCATTTATTTGGTCCATCTATTAAAATTCCAGCTTAGCAGAATACTTTTGGGAGCACTGTTCTGACTTTCCTTTATTTGGATTGGTGATTTGTGTTTGCTGGAGTACCAACAGATAGTATCACTCCACCTAAGTTAGTTTCTAGAAAATGAATGAGAAAATGTAGTGAATCATGGTCATTCCTGCTGGGAGTCATCTACCCCTTAACCCCTGGTTTGGGACCCTCTTTGATTTCCCCTAATGTCCCTCTCAACCCTTTACCTTAATACCAGCTCAATGCATCCACATAGGCAGCAAAGTCAAGTCTATAAAAGTGAATCACGAAAACCGTAGGTGTTTGAGGCAGTCACTCAAGATCCTGCTTGCTTCACCATGGCTTACTTCCTCTGGCTTGTTCAGACAGTTTCCAGATCTAGACTTCAACTCTGTCTTCCGTGATCACAGTTTAGGTTAACCCAATTAGCTTTATTTTTTCCTTCAGACAGCCTCAGACCATCTACTAAATTTGACTGGACTTTGGAAATCTTTTTCCAGTAATGACCTCATCCTTCTTGAAGATCAGCTAGAAGGTTAGCACAATAGTGTCTGCTGATTTATGCTACATTTTTGACGTCTCAGAACTTAAACTCTCCAGCCAAATAACCCATTTCTGTTGAGTCGATTTCAACTCATAGTGATCCTATAGAACGGAGTCGAACTTCCACATAGGGTTTCCAAGGCTGTAATCATTTCTGAAGCCGACTGCCACATGTTTCTCCCGTGCAGTGGAGTGGCTGGTGGGTTTGAACTGTCCACTTTTCAGGGAGCAGCCAAGTGCTTAACCACTGCACCACCAGGGCTCCTTAAATTCTCCAAAGTGGCTCCATTATCCTTAACAGAAAAAAAGCAATGGAGAAAAAATGTTTTTCAGGCCCTCAATCCTCTAGAGGCTCAGTGCTCTCGCAGAATTTGCAAGGCTTCATTGTGATGGTTTGAGCCTTTTACTTAGTTGTATTTGTGAATAATTCAGAAAGGCAGGAGTAATCATGAAATTGAATCATAGAAATAATGGATCCTAGTCATAGTCAAGAAGGAGTCCCTGGGGGGTACAAACAGTTAGACTTGGTAATCTGCTTCCAAAAAGTCACAGCCTTGGAAACCCTACAGAGTAGTTCCACTCTGCACTTATGGGGTCACCATGAGTTGGAATTGACTTGATGGCAACTACCAACAAGTCATAGTCAATAGGGCCACTAGTGTACAATTCATTTCTAAATACTCTAGGAAGAATTTACATATTCACAATGATTTTATATGCCTGTTATACTCTAGATTTATCAGCCATTAATTACTGTGAGAATTTGTCACGTACAATTGAAGCCACAAGGAATTTGACAGCCGATCGGCCTCCATCAAAGAGGTGCAGTCAAGCACTGGTGGCCATAGAATCCTCTTCTAAGAACTCCTCCTGCCACGACCACTGTGTGGACAGGAAAGGAGAGAGAATTCACTGACTGATTCACTCTTCTTCTTTTATACTTTAGCCTCCTTCAAGAGGCTTTAGTTTCTACTGACACATAGATAAGTCTGCTAGATAAAATAGTTCTGATGTTGGCACCCCTTTCAGCTACTGACATTTGTTTAAAAAAGTATGCATAACCTTGCTCTAATTTTTTCACTGTGACTAAGTTATTTACAGGAAACAGACTTCATTTGTCCTAACTAGGGAAATCGAAAGCTAAGAACATGATAGGCGGAGTCTCAAAGTTGTTTCAAACCTGAATAACTTGTCTTTTCTGGCAACTGCCAATGAAGTATGAGATAGCTGGCACTAGTTATGTTTTCAATTGACTCTGACTAGTGCTGTTTTTCCTTGTTATCTTTCAAAATAGGTCAGTTTCTGCACTATTTATGAGATCATAATATCCTGCAGTTCAGTTTCTGGAGAGCTTTCCTGATTTACTTTCTACTCTTACAAGACAAACGGTACTTCTTGTATTTCTGACAAAGATTTCAGGATCTGGACTACTGTGGAAGAAGTTTCCAGTAAGGTGAGTCCTGTGAGGAATTGTTTGGAGAAAGATCTGAGAACCTAGTTAGTAAACACATGTTCACAAGGGAGATTAGTTATGGAGTCTTCTAGGGAAAAAAGTACTGGTATTAACTATATTCAGAAAAGTGGAAAAGGCAGTAGCTTTATTTTAATATAGCCAAACAATGGACTCATTTTATTCTACCACAATTGAGGACTGAAAAAACGGGAATCTGTTTTGATTATAGAGGTATGAAATCAATTCTCTGGATGCCTGCACCCATGAGTTGATATTTAGAGGGGAGCTAGGTTTTCTTCATGGGTGGGTGAGGAGGAAAGTTGGTGGCAGTGTTGGGGGCCTAGGTATAAGACAAGATAGTGGTATGAGAAATGTATCGCGAAGTAATATTAAATTAAACAAGATAAATCTGGATATAAAGTTGTGTTATATGGCATTATCCCAATTTTACAAAACACGAAAACACACATACACAGAAGAAAAAAATTCTCATTTTCCCAAACATGTTGTTAAAATACATGACATCTTAATGTTTTCATAAGTATATTTAACTTATATTTTAACTTCATTCTACACCAGGTGTTAGAGGCATTATTTTAGTCCTTTTGGGATAGTCCCTGCTTTCTTCAAGGTCACAGATAAAACTCTGTTGATGAGAGTTTGTAGGGGAAAAGAAGGTAGAGTAAATTACATCTATACCTCAATTCCTATACATAGAATTCCTGTATAGCCTGGTATATAAACATCTCATGTGTGTTTGAGAGGAATGTAAGGTTTGAAATATTGGTTTCAGAACTCCCCACATGTTAGAAAGTCTTGTTGTTTAAGCTTGCCAATTGTGTTGGTCTATTTTTTTTTCTTCAGTATTTGCTGTATTTCTTTACTTTTTTCAGAAATTCAGATATGCTAAAATTTCAAACTATAATTACCATTTTGTCAATTTTTCCTCGTAGATCTCCCGATTTCCATAAAGATACATAAATATATAAATACACACATGGGAAAAACAAGAGATAGAGAAGAGACAAACTTATTATTTACAGTAATATAATCACAAAGAATATACATTTATTATTAACAGGTAATGAATATTTAGAACTATTATATCTTACTGGGATTTTAACATTTTATCATTATGTAGTAGAACTAGTTCTACTAGTGTTCATTGCGTAGTGAAACAAGCTACCCTTTGTCTTAAGGTCTGTTTAAAGCTTCACTAATGTCAAGTGTTCTCTTTGAATTACTGTGTGCATAATAACACTTTTTCCAACTTTTTTTTTTTAACTTTTGAATGACCTTTTGTCTACAGCATATAAGCAGATTTTTTGTAAAAATCCAATTAGAAAAATTTTGTCTCATAACAGATTTTATCTATATTCTGTTGATCGCTGTTTTTTTTTAATAGTTTCTGCCATACTATTTTATTTCAATCTGTTACACTCTATGCTTCCTTCTCCTTCTTCATCTGTCCTTTTATTTTTCTTTCCTATCTCTATCTTCTCCATGAGGACAAGTAACCCAGTAAACACTCCTATCCACTTGTCTCACTCCCTCCACCCGTGGTGTTCCTGTTTTGTTTCTCTTTGTTTGGGGATTTGTTTCTTTACAAGACATTGAAGACTTAGTTGCTCACCCTTGCTTTCCTTTTACCCTGCAGAATTTCTTAGCTTTATTCATTTATTTTCTTGTTGAATACTACTTCCAAAAGAGTGTTTGGTGGGTATTTTTGTGTTGCAAGTATTCTGAGGCCCTTACATTTAAAAGACGTTTTGACTATACATAGATTCTATAGTCAAAAGTATTATTCAGTCAAGGTAGATCGAGAGCACCTTTTCTGAAACCCTACGGGTTGCATCTGCTTTGGAATTCAGAATTTGGGTAATTTCAGGAAGGCTATTTAATGCAGACACTATATATAAATGGCCATTAGGGTCTAAGTCTTTACACCCAAATTAAATGCAATAAAATTTATTCAACAAAATATATGAACATTCACACTAAAGTAGCATTAAAAACAAAAAAAAATATATATTGTTTCCTCTTAGATCACGTTTTATTTGGCAAATAAATTTTGTTACCAAGCTCAGAAAAGATAAATCTTTTGGTTTCAAAATTATTTTGAGTTTCAAAATTGTAGAAATGAGATTTTGGACAACTACTATAAAAAATTACTCCATTATCCTTCTGCTTGCAGCTTTGCTGTTGAGCAGCTGATTCTAGAATCTTTGTAGTTAATGTGCTCTTTTTCTCCAGAAGCTTTCGGACGATTGGCTTCATTTCTAAGATTCTTCAGTTTGGCTACGTTGAGTCTTGATGTGGGTTTTTTTCTTCACTCTCCTATTTGGTACTGTATTGGCCTGATCAATCTGAGTGTGTTCACGTTACTTTAATTCCAAGAAATTCATCCCATTATTTCTTCAAGTATTTTATTCTTTTAATTTTAGTTTTCTCTCTTTCTGCAACTATAAGTTTATGAATGTTGACACTTGAACTTGCATTCTGACATGTCTTACATTTTCTTTTACGTAGTCTATATATATTCTATTTCTTAATTTCACCCTAATTCCTTATGGTGGAATTTTCAATCTTATCTTACAAATCACTAATTTATTTTCTAGTTGTATCTATTTTACTATAGTCAAATGATTAGGTTCTAGGAGCAAGGTCTTTTGAACTCCAAAGTCTAAATTCTTAGCACTCATATTTAGCTTCCTGAGTCAGTATGCCGAGCAAAGATATTGGAAAACAAAAAAGCTATATTAAGAAAACTACCATTTTTCACAAATAGTCATTATCACTTGCTGTATTATATTCATAATGATGAGCATAACATGATATATAATATTATATAGTATAATGAAATAAAATACTATATTATATTATCTTACATACAATATATGATATACATATCATATTCATATAATATAGTATAGTATAATATAATGCAACATTATATTATAGAATGTAATATGACATACATATATATCACATATATGATGTTATTATATATGTATGCCATATATTACATTATATGTAAGAATATCAGTTACAATGTTTCCATATGAATACGTCTCTAGGTGGCACAAACAGTTTGTGCTCAACTGCTAACCTAAAGGTTGGCAGTTCAAATCTATCCAGTGTCACCTTGGAAGAAAAGCCTGGAAATCTGCTTCTGTAAAGATTACAACCAAGAAAACCCTGTGGAGTAGCTCTACTCTGTAATATATGGAGTCACCATAAATCTGAATCTACTGGATGTTGACTAACAACACCAGCTTTCAGACTGAATAATCTGTATATGTGCATAATTTGGCAGAATTTAAAAATTAAACTACAATAGAGAGTTCTAAACAATAGTTACAGACTTTAATACACCACTTTCAGTAATGGATAAAATATCTAAACATAAGTTCACTAAGGAAATAGAGGACATGAGCAAAATAGTAAACCAATTAAACCTAACAGATACATTTAGAACACTACCCAACAACAGCTGAATCCACATTCTTCTCCAGTGCACATGGATCATTCTCCAGGATATACCATATATTAGGTTACAAAAAAAGTCTTAGTAAGTTTAAAAAGATTGAAATCATACAAACTATCTTTTCTGGCCATATTGGAATGAAACTACAAATCAATAACAGAAGGAAAACTAGAAATTTCACAAAAATGTGGAAATTAAACAATACACTATTAAGCAATGAGTCGAAGAAGAAGTCACAAGGGAATTAGAAAACTCTTAGAGATGAATGGAAATGAAAGCACAACATACTTAAACTTATAGGATGCAGAAAAGGCAGTGCTAAGAGGAGAATTCATAGCTGTAATGCCCACATTAAAAAGGAAGAAAGATCTCAAATAGCTTTACACCTTAATACACTATAAAAAGAAGACCAGAAAACAGAAATAATAAAAACTGGATAATGCATAAATGAAATAGAAAATTAAAAACCAATACTGTGAATCAACAAAAGCAAAAGTTACTTCTTTGAAGAGATCAGTAAAGTTGGCAAACCTTTAGCCAGACTGACAAGTAAAAAAAGAGAAGATGCAACTAATTAAAATCAGAAGTGAAAGTGGGGATGTTACTACTAACTATGTTATCAGGAGGGATCAGTCCCTGGAGAAGGACATCATGCTTGGTAAAGTAGAGGGTCAGCAAAAAAGAGGAAGACCTTCAACTAGATGGATTGACACAGAGGCTGCAACAATGGGCTCAAGCATAACAACGATTGTGAGAATGGCACAGGACCTGCAGCATTTCATTCTGTTGAACATAGGGTCACTATGAGTTGGAACTGACTCGACGGTACCTAACAACAACAACAGCATAGAGAAAGTAAAATAAAAGAATACTATGAAAAATTTTATGTCAACATAGATAAAATGCATAAATTCCTAGAAACACACAAGCTACCTAAATTTACTCAAGATAAATAAAAAATATCAGCACGTCTATAAAAGTGAAAAAATTGAATCAGCCATCAAAACTAGATGGTTTTACTCGTGAAATCTACCAAAGCATGTTAAGAAAAATTAACACTACCATATTTTTACACAAGTAACATGCATCTTCTACATTTGTTTATCAGCTGTGCCCTCCCCCAAAGAGGTATTTTTGTAAACACACGATGCTTTTTTTTTTTACAGCAACAACAAAAAAAGATCGGCATAGCAGTACATATGGAAATACCTCCAGGGTGGGGGGGGTGGGGGGAGCGTGAGGCTGTCAACAAAAGTAGAAGACATGCATTATTTACATAAAAATACAGTAATCCTTCTCAAACTCTTTCAGAAAATAGAAGGGGGGAACACCGTCTATCTCATTTTATTAGGCAGCATTACCCATTACCTTGATAGCAAAACCAGATAAAGATACCACAAGAAAAGTACAGACAGATATCCCTTACGGATTTATATACAAATATCTGCAACAAAATACTAGTGAAGCAAATCCAAAACCATAGTAAAAGGATTACACATCATAATCAAGTGGG